CTCAATTTCCAAATAGGAACTGGGTTTAGTGTTCTTTTCATGTAGATTGATTCAAGTTAACTATGAGGCTTAATTGATTTAGAAATCATAAAGATGTTAAATTCCAGCAAATGGGTTCATTGGGGTTTTCTGAGAATTTAGCACTTGACTAGCTAGTTGGTTAAGTTAATCTGTTCCCTTTGCATGTTGGTGAGATTTTTTTTTCTTTTTTGTTTTTCTTTTTTCTTTTTTTGCAGTGAAGAGTTTACATTTTGGTTATCTTAATGAATCTGCTTGGTTAATAATCTCATATGTGTTCTTGACTGATGTCGACTCCCTCCTTTGTTTCTTTCAATCTGTACAGCTTCAAGATTTAAGTTTACTTTCCTTTAAAGTTGAACAACTTTTGAAAATGTTCAAGAACACCTTTCAGTCTGGATTTCTATCCATCTTATATAGTCTTGGGTATGTTGCCTTTAATATTATATCTCATTGCTTTCTTTTTGGCATACTGAAATCACAATATTCCACTTTCAATATTGCACCCGTGCAGCTTGCATGCTGAATGATTCTTTTTGTATTTTGTAGGAGCAAACCTCTGCAGATTTGGGATAAAGAAGGTGAGTAATATTCCTGCAAAGAAATTGATGTCTTATTTTATACATGCTGCATGCATGCACATCCAATCTCACAAATGTGGATATTTAGTGAATTCTTCAGAGCAGTTATTTTCCAAGTCGGTTTGCTTGAGACTTTAGAGGTGTTCAGCCACAGCTTTTCTGGAGGATTTTCATAAATCAGAGACTGATAAATTTATCCATTTTGTTTGCATTTGTATCAGTACCTTTATTACTTGTATTAGCTAACTATTGGATTTGTGTTGTGCTGTTTGCAGTTGTTGATGGTCACGTAAAACGGCCACATGATGAAGACATACAATCCAATGTGCTTGAAATAGTTGGATCAAATATTCAGTCCACTTACATTACATGCCCAGCAGACCCAGCTGCGACCCTTGGTATAAAACTTCCCTTTCTGGTTATGATTCTGAAGAACTTGAAGAAGTATTTCACATTTGAGATACAGATTCTGGATGATAAGAATGTCAGGCGACGATTCCGTGCCTCTAACTTTCAAGTCTGTAAGTCTGCCCATGTTTTTTGTTTTGTTGTCTTGTTTACCATCGTGCTTTCTTTTGAGTAGTCAGATGAAGAAAAATCAGCTGTTGAGTTTGACTAACAATGTGAATTTGCCATCTCTTTTGTATTTCCTCTGGAAAGCTCCCATAATAATTTATAATTGTCACCAAACGGTTAAAAAACAGTTAGACATGCATCTTATGCAAAGAACATACACAAAATGGCTTAAAAGATCTCAATTTAGCTGGTGGCAAATTGTCCTTCATGCTTCTCATGTATCATTAAGAATGTTGGACATAACTAGCTTTACAAAATCAGTGGCTAAAATGGTTTCTGTGGATGCTCACTAAAAATTGATATTACAAGTTTTTAGTAATTATGTGAACTTTTATGTAAATTTGCAGGCTGTTACTCGAGTTAAGCCATATATATGCACCATGCCTCTAAGGATGGATGAGGGTTGGAACCAAATTCAGTTCAATCTAGCTGATTTTACAAGGAGGGCATACGGCACCAACTATGTTGAGACATTGCGAGTTCAGGTTCATGCAAATTGTCGCCTTCGGAGGATATATTTTGCTGACCGCCTATACTCAGAAGAGGAACTCCCACCGGAATTTAAGCTCTACCTTCCAATGCAGGTAAGAGTGACAACAACACACTTCTGAACAACTCTGAAATTCATGGTTTTTATAATCACATTAACACCTACTTTTTCAAATTGCAGAAAGCTTGAGAAAATGCACCGGAGGAATACTTTCAGCAGGGTGATCAATGTGCTTAGAAATCTCATTGCATCCTACACTTCCGTTCTACTCAAGCAGTTTAAAATTCAGTTTGTCTGTAAAATCATATTACAAGCAGAATCCATCGAGATCCCAAAACTCGATTCTCAATCAGTTCTCAATGGTGTTTCTGGTTTGTTAGAAGATTTTCACTAATGGTATGTCATTGAAACCATTTTTATGGCTAGTGTTTCATTATATGATGGGAAGTATGGACTTACTATTGTCACGTTCTGAGAAGGTGGAGCGGGCTTTCCCAAATCAGAAATAGGCTATTGGGGCGGCTGTTGCTTTGTTGGGCCACTCTCAATATTGGACTTCTATTTTCATATTTTAGAAAGTTGGGCCTTAGGCTTAACTAATACGACTACTTAAGGAAATTAAAAATTGTCTATCGATTGGGCCTTCCACACTGGGTGGGCCTTATCTTTTCTGGGCCATTCCTTTCATAAAACTGAATTATTACCATAAGAAGGCAGCAGCACCAAGAAACATCGGGGCCCACAATATCCTGAAATCACGCCATCACAGATCGTGTGGTTCTGAATTTGTGTGGTATCCTGCACCGGACAACCACCAAATCCCAAACCTGAATAAACCAAACTGCAACTTTTTCGTTATTCCTACTGTTGCCCTCCGCTTTGGTAAACCGTAAACCTGTCCTCTATTCCTTCAGATCACTACACGTGTCCTGCAGGCAGACCACCCTCCCGACACGTGTCCCTGACGTGAATTGCAGTTCTAACCAACTGCCACGTATACCTTTAAAAAAAACTAAAATATTAAAAATAAATTTTTTATATTAATTTTTAATATAATTATATATATATTATTTTAGTTACATAATAAAAAATAATTATTTTTTATTTTTTATTTTACTTTATTCATATATTATATGACTTAAACTTATAATTTTTTATTTCTAACCAAATAAAATAATCACTTAATTAATTAGGTCATTGATTAATTTTATATATTATTAAATAAATAAAAATATTTAATAATAAATTTTTTTATAAAAATAAAAATTAATTATTTAAATAACATATAAAATTATATAAAAAATATTATCCCAAATGTACAAGGAGCACGGGTAACTATCGGAGGTACTTTCGGGATATAAACTTTCGGTTGCAAAGCTAATCTCTTATGGCTAAAAAAAAGAAAAACCATTTACACGTAATTGGGAAAACCATAATAAGACCTCAATAGTTTTCATTATCTACAATTGATCCTTTATGGTTGTTTTCATAGCAATTAAGCACTCAACTTGCCTACTTACATACTTAAGCCTAAAATGGACCAGGAAAGTTTAATAAACCATTTTGTTTTACGTTCATGTTGCCTCATTCATTTGACTGAGATGTGTGTGAAAGTTGGATATGTAGGATTCAATAAAGATTTACATTTAATTTAAAATTAATTAATAAAAAATAAAATATTTATTTTTGTATTTAACTCATATATCTCTTTTTTACAAACTTGATGTGAGATTTTTCTATTTAATAATGTGATTAGACTTTTGTACTTTTACTCCTTGAGACAAATTAAAAACAAAACCCTTAATGGTTTTTAATATTCTAAAAAATAACTTATGATATATTATTATCTAAGAATGATGCTTGCAAAATAATGCCACATGTTTTTAATAATTTCCCCTCATACTAAATGACACAATCATGAGAAATACATAGGCTCTAGGTAGTTTGTGAGGAACTTTATAAAGGAAATTGGAGACCACTCCATATTGCATAGCTTTAATAAAACTGCATAGTTTAAATAAATTCACATGACTCATTTGGTAAATCTTTTGTAGAAATTGAATAACCTTAAGGAAAATTGAAAGTTCTTAAGGAAAATTGAAAGTCCTTTGTTTCTACCAATCTACCAACTATATAGAATGGTAGATTCCCATTGACTCAAAGATAATTCACTCTTCAAACCCCTTTTTTTCCATTATAGAATTTTCCATATTATTTATTAAAATATTGTTAACTTAAATATTAGATTAAGTACGTTAATGATTACTTCTGATATGTGCTCTTCAATAGCCGATAATGAAGATGTCAAATTTACGTGTATGAGTTTTGTTAATCACGGTGTAATTCTCCCTTTTCATTTCCTTCATGTGGGCTAATTTCTCTAGTCAAATGAGTTGCAAGGCTTAATTGGCACAAAAAACCTATGAAGACTAAATTGTTTATTAGTAAAGAAGTTTGAGGACTTATTGGGGGGTTTCCTAGTATAATTTCACCAAATCTTCGTGACCATGATTTCCTGGCGTGGGACCAGCTCCGCCAGGTGTTCCAATAAGAGTGCAGTTTTAGATGGGACTGTCAGCCACTAATTTCGCCAGAAATTCTCAGCCACAAATTTGCAGCAGCTTCCTTTTTCTCTCTAAAACAATACCCTTCTTTCCTACTTTCGCTTTCTTCACAAGTTGCTTCTCTTTGACTCGTTTTTAGTACCATGAACATTGAAAATTCTGCAAATGCCTACCTGATGCCAACGCCGACTCTGTTTTACATCACAGCCCTAGGAATACTGTAGGCTTCCTAAAATTCCCAAAAACCCATTAAGGTTTCCCTTCTGTTCTCTTCCCTTCATTTGGACTGCTTTGTTTCTCTGAATCAGGAATAGAGGTTGTAGGTTTTCCTGTTTCTTTCATCTGGGTTGCTCTGTTTTTGTGAATCTGGAAGTGGGTCTTCTTCATCTTCTCGATTCAGCCCATAAAGAGGTTTGCTTTCTGCTTGTTTGTTGTGAAGTTTCTGTAAAAATGTACAGACTTTGGTGTTTGCTTGTTTATTAAAAATGATTCCTGCTTGAAAATATTTGAAAATTTTAAGGAGATAGGAAATGAATTGAGCTGTGTCTAGATAGTATATGTATAAACGGAGGATTTATCCTTTTCTCTTTGAAAAAAAAAATTTCTTCATAACTTAATTGTCCTGTACTGATCCTAATTGTTTCCTGGCTTTTACTTTTCATAACATAATTGTTGAAATTTGAATCGAACTTGGATAAATTAAGCTCATATTAGTGGATTTTGTTGAACTGTCAAATGGTGGAGTAGTCACCCATTTTTCCACCTTAGATGTGGTAATTTTATTAATTTCCTTTATTGGCCAAGTAGTAATATTAATTAAAAGGCTATTTTTTGATTTCAAGATTGGGTCAATTGCTGAATTCTCTTATATATTTTTTTTCTTCTTTATGATATATTGATATTTTTTTCAGATATAATCCATGGACTGGTACTTTGGGAATGGTATTGATGATCTTGTTGTGCCCAAAGATCATGAATTATCAGACAGGTTTCCATCTCCAGAAAGTTGGTCAAATTGGGGAATAAGTGCCCCAGGAAACATAGAGTCACCAAACAAATGCTTCATTATGGATTCAAATTTGAATCAGGATTTCAATGAAGTTGAAATGGAATCCCATCTCAATGCTAAAGATCAGTCTTGTTGTTCAAGTGTTTGCAGAGGATTGTCTGAGGAGTCTCTTCTTAATCATGCACCAACATCTCATCAACAGATAGATTACCAGCTTGATGAGTTGTCCAGATTCCAGCAGATGGATGACATATTCTTGTACAAGCACAACTTTGGGACTATGATACTTAATTTTTTGCAGTAGGAAAATCATGTAGTTATAAAATGCTTTGGCTTGTCACGTAGGTCTAGAGCTTGCTCAAACATCCCATGGACATTGGATGGTTCATTATTTATGATGGCTGTCATCGTTGTAATTGATTATGATAGATTCCATCTCATATTGCAAGTATGATGATCCTGAGTCTTGACTAATCACTTATGGCGATGACATTCCATGTATTTAAGATGATCTCTCAGCTTGAAACTTTCTATGCACTAATATTGCCACATAACATAATAAAGCCATTCATTATTTGTGGGATGCCAAGTTATTGCATCAGCTTTAGTCTTTACATTTTTATTTGTCTTTAGTTCAATTAGTGTTGACTTGTAGTTTTTTAGTCCTCAATTCAATTGATTTCTCCTTATTGCAGGAATTCTTTACTTGAGAATCTGCCAGAGAATGAAGATCTTGACAAACCATATCTCATTTCCCTTGATTCTGAACATGACATGATGCCATCTGACAATCTATTGGAAGATGTGGTTTCAAATTATCAAAGTATTGAAAACTCAAAGCATCTCAATACACATGCATGTTCTCCATCCCAGAGTTTGCAGAAAGAAGTTCATGTTTTGTGCATTAGTCCAACCAACATGGAGAAAAAAAGTAGCCTAACAGTAAAGGTGAGGTTTTCCATCTATTTTTAAATGGAAGTGATGTCTATGAAATTCATTGTCTGGTTTGGAAAATCTATTTTCTTTTCTTTGAAAAAGCTAGGAAGGGAGTTGTTGCCTGTTCAGGATTCTTTGTGGTCTGTGCAGCATGATGTGTAGTCTTCCATTCAGAAAAATCTCTATCTCAATGGCTAGGCTAAATTCTAATCTGCTTTGCTTTCTTCAGTACCTTTCAGTGGAAATTTTAGTAACAAAAAATAGGCACTGAATAATGCTCGCCATAGATTGCCTGAAGTCTATCAGCATGTGACATACTTTTTTCAGTCCATTATCAGTTTTGGAGGGAACAGTCCCTTATCAGTTTTGGAGGGAACTTCTGTAAACTGAACTCTTAAATAAACACAATAAAGCTTTGAGGGAACTTCTTTTTTTCTTTGAGCAGCACTCTTTTTAGTAGTGGTTGTATTTAATTATGTGTTTTATTAAAATTCTAGGATTAATATTGCTTTCTTCTCCAGCTCTTACCTTTATTGTGAAAATTTGAAGGTATTTTTGCTGCCTTTATGAGATTACTAATCATTATAATGTTTGTACAAGGTACCACTTGCCAATATACCTGCCCCTTCTGAGAACAGCTGCATCAATGGACATCTTGCCCCAGAACCATCTCTTGAGGAATCTGTTTTGTGGGAACTTGAAACTGTGATGACACAGGTGAAACAACTACAAAAAAACCATATTGTCCTCTTTACCAAGTAACACATCAATAGTTTTATATTGAGATTTTTGTATTTCATTTTGATCAGTTGCCTGATAAGACGCGAATTTGCTTCCGTGATGCCTTCTACCGCCTTGCAAAGAACTCAAAACAAAATATTATGGTACACAACCAAAGCAGAATCCTTCCCTTGGAAACTGAATTGCCAAGCCATGATGCAAAAATTAGGTACCTTCATAATGTTTGTGGCATATTTGATATATTTATGTTTATGAGTTTGCTACACTTAAATATTTAATAAAAAAATTGTGCTTTTATGTTGGTGTTCCTTGCATAAGTCAGATAGGAGGGCTATTCAACTCTGCTCTGTTTCTGGGTTAATGACAGTTCAAATTTATTGTCTCCTGTGTTCTTTATGTTGCATTCATGCTTTGAACTCTCTTGACTAAATCATGCTTTTTATTTGCAGGCCTGAAAGACAGAATGCAGTGGAATCAGAGACCAACACCATCGATAGAGCCATTGCAAGCCTCACATTCAACAAGATGGAAGTTAATGTCCGAGATTTTCCTCCAGTGAAGTACAATGTCACCAAGGCAACAGGATCACTGAAGCACAGCTCAAATTTGTCAGAGATTCAGTATTTTCCTCAGACATCTATTGTGACTAGTGATGCTGAAGTTCCCACCTTTGTTTCAAGATAGTCACCAATGACAACAGATCAACATGATCAATCCATGTTAAGAAGAGGTCGAGAAGTTTTCAGCATTAGTACATAATGGAGTTGCTGGAAACACATTAGAATAATGGCATGGAAGGAAGGATTGAAGAAATGAATCCTTTTCAAGCATGAAATCTTTCTTTTTTAAGTAGTTTCCTTTTCCCCTTGAATGTATATATACTAATAGCTTGTTCCATGGTTAAGTAGTTGCTGCATCTGGTCAGCTCAGTTTTGATCTCGTTATCTGCTTAAGCTGATTCAATTGCTACAATTGGTTTGCATTCTTTCTTGCTGTCATTTGGTTTTACAAGAGTCTTCTTGTAACCTATTCCATAAAAGCATCCATATGCACTGTTATTTTGTAGATAAATCTCGTGTTTTCCTTTAATCTTACATTAAAAGAAAAAAAAGTATCGTTATCACTGGCCTTTTCTGCATACTTTTTTGCGAAACAAAAAAAGAAAGAAAGAAAAAAAAGAGTAAAATTAGGACGCTTACTAATGTTAAGATTTTGTATGAAATTATTTAAATATTTTTAATAAATATTTTTATTTTTGTTTTATCATTATTTTTTATTTCGATTAATTATTTTATTATAAAAAAAATTATTTTAATTAATAACTTTTTTCTAAGGATAATATATATATATATATATATATAAAAGAAGATAGTGTTTATTTCCTTATCTAAAAAATCAAGAGAAACATCACCGTAAAATTATGTTATTTCAATAACATATAAAAAAGATTTAATCCATAGTTTAAAAATTAAAATTTTTTAATCTTTTAATAAAAATTTATATTCGTATACTTTAATGCAGATGGACAATATTTCTTTTGTGTAGATCAAATATAAAAATAGGCCGCACATGATCCTAAGGATCCAATAACATTAGTCATTGAATGAATATGCATTCCTCCTACCAGAACGAGTTCGAACCCACCCATATCAAAATGTTTCCAAAAAATAAAAGAAAAAACAAAAATCAAAATAGGCCTTAGAATTAAAAGCCCATTAATGAGAATTTCCGTGCCGGCCC